TTTGTTAAAGAGCAAATGTATAGACCGGATTACTAGTAACCCGTTTGCCCAGAGTGCGACATTAGAGGAGAAAATTGGACCTATGATGTGAATTGATGTATTCCCAAACTACTTACGGAGTTGTGAGTAGAACATATGCGATCGGCAGGTTCCGTCGAAGCAACAACAGTCGGTAAAAAACCATAAGGACTGTTGCCACGCAAACGAAACGCGGGAGCTCTAACATCCTATCCTATAAAATGTTTTGACTTATAAACTTTCGACTTGCCTTCCACAAGGCTTCCCTTGTTTCACGTGATATCTGGATCAAATCGGTCCAGATCGCCTAAGAATATCTTTCTAGTTGTACATTAATGTGAGACGCACGTATCCAGTGAAGACAATTTGTGGCACGCATACTTGAAAACATGCGCTGATACGTCTGACACCATTTCAAGGTGTCATACTGGAGTAATATGTGGTTGAATGTCAAAATAAAGCTAACTCCTTCGTTTGATCATTTTCTGTATTGCTGGTAGAACAAGGAAACGTCTTGAAACATGAGTGATGTATGGCAAGCTGGATCTGTGTAATATGAAATCCAATCAAGCCTCTTAAGCGCATCATTTCTTACCGATACTTTTTGTGGACCGCCCTAATCACCGTGAGCAGGACACACCACGGGATTGACAAGGTAGAATAAACTTGCGATTCATATTTTCGTAATAAGTTTTACCGACGGTCTCTTCTTCAGTTGCAGTGACGCAGAACTCTCAGGCCCGTTTGTTATACTGAACTTGCAAATTTGAAAGATACATGGTATCTCTTGTATCCGGTGTAATCCTGGCTGCATAGTAATCGCGTTCTCGAATAGTTAGGTCGGGCACAATCAGATCGTCAGCATTCCGTTTCATTCATCGGTTGTCACGCTTTCTTGATTACACGTAAAATTTTATTTCGCTTTCATCTCATCACTCAGTCAGTTAATCAGGAAGTAAATTAATGAGTTACTCTCGAAGAGTTTTCAGCAACTTTATACGTAGTGTGTACCGTCAATAGAACACATGGCGTTGGCACGAATATCGTGCCAAGTGTAGCGTAATCAGCTAAACAACAATGTGGACAGGTGATTCATCTGGGTTTCAGTGGGATTCTCCTGTGCAAACCAACCCGGTATGGAAATGATTATAATTGTCTAATTTCATGCAATCTAAATGCACGTCTTAAATAAATTTGATGGAGATTCGGGGACTGTGCATACCTGATGAGCCCCAAGAACGGTGAAACCAATCGTGAGTAGTTGAACAAGTTCTAACTACCTCATAGCAGTGCTTTGTGTTGATTTCAAACTAATAAAAGTGAAGGAAAGGCTCAGCGATATTACGGGGAGAGCATGGCGCGAACAATCACCAGAAGGCCGAGGGATTTTGTCGAACAATTGAGTCGATATCATAGCAGCCGGTATCATAAAAGATAGTCGCTTTTGCGTTATTGTTCCAAGTTATAGCAAGCTGGAGGGATTCACAACAAATTTAAATCATTGTACGCCACACAGTCAAACGTTAACGCTTTCTAAGTTTGGAATGGTTACTTGTAATAATCAGCGACCAATGGGTTAGTACAAATCTGCGTTGTGCCTGGCCGCCCTCATATGAGGTATACGACCCCCCTTAGTTTCCGGGGGGGGGTTCCTGATGGACACCTCGGCATCAGACCATCGGACCATTGCCACCAGAGGATACTGACTTTTGTCAATTCCAATCGTAGTAACGACGTCTACTGGAACGTCCAGTTAAATACCACGTACGGCCAAACCACTAGTTTTGACAGATCCTCAATCTCCCTATTGTCTCACTCGTTTACCAATCAATCAGGCGCGTCAATATTCTTAATCACCAAAATCAAGCGAGATCCACCCTGCTGATAACACCTGAGTCAACGCAATGGTCTGTCTCCACCACTCGTTGAGAAAGTCAAGAATCAGAGCAAAGCTGGATAAACGCAAGAAACCGCGCTTCTGCGAAAGACATTCCTTGTAAGGCTAAGGAAACGCTTAACAAACTTGTACTTTCTTTCAATAAACTAATCCTCATATCGCATATAGGACGTGAACCCATCAAGCAGGTCGTGCATACATTACAGACTGATTCAACACATCCAGGATGAAATAGTAGATACATGTACTCAACTGTCAGTAGAAGCAACCACACGCAGAAATCACAAACCGAAAGCGCAACACAGCAAAGTGAGATTTCAAAAAATTGTCTGGCCTTATGCTCCATAAACTCCATCACAGAAGCACAAAGTCCCGTTAGGCCGAGCCAGGTTAATTTCCGTGGGCCTGCAGCCTCATATATGGAGACTGTTTGCGGAAATCATATACGCTCGTCTCAGAACAAATCACGACTGAAAACGCCATGTATTCGTTACACGGTGAAGTTTTTCGCAGAAAGTAGTACGTGGGCACACATGTTGAATATCTCAGTCTCATTCTATTCTATCGCCCAGTCCAGTCATTCTGATCCAGCCATTAGCCTGTATCTTCGTTCGCAAGATTGCGTGCCGCCAGTTTATTTCCACTTTGCAGGTGATTTTAGACATCCTGAATTAGATTATCCATAAGATAGAAACGTCATAACGGCCAAAACGTTCTTTCAAATACTTAACTAAACTTGTGACAGTGCTTTGTCCCTCTAGTTTGACATTTTAGGTTTCATGAGTAAATATTTCGATTAATTTAGCTACTGGCGAGACGCCAGTAGCGTATTTAATACCTACATTTGTCTTCTGAACTGTGACTTGAAACCAGCTATATACTGGGTCGACTGCGAAAGCTGGGATCTGTCGGAATGAGCTGATCCTGAGACTCACTTCTTATCTACCTTAAGAACATGGGCCCTATTAGAAAGTAGTTCCGTATACAAATACCTGTCATACCGAAGAACATTTATTTGTTCGTCCAACGCAAAAGGAATCCAAGTGGAGCCTAATGCATTGCAGCACAAACCCAAATGCGAAAAGTCGAAGCGGATTATTCTTGAAGAAATAGTGCCGAAAATATGTGCCTCCTACGTGGACAATTTTGAATGCATGCTGCAGGTAGACGCGTGATAAATCAGTCTACAAATGTACCGAAAACCAGGGAATAAAAGAAGACACAAGAATGCGCAAATCCCATCAATTAGGATCGAGACCGATGAAAGGTACAGGTTAGTATAGTATAAACCAGGAAATCAGTAGTACAGGTGGCAAAAGCAGACAAACATTTGATAAACGAAAGCTATGCATTGCCGAAATCGTTAATAGGATAAAAAGTAAATGTCAAAAAACTACTAAAAAGAGAACACGTATAACCTGCAGTCAAAATGATAAGGGGTGGGCTAGAATGCTGTATGATAAATTATAAAAGTCTCCGGTAAAATTAAAATATCCGTTTATCCGCTAATATGCTGCAGAGCTCGACTAAAACACAAATTCGATTTAGAACATGTCAGTTGGACTACGTTCAAGAAATTCCTCGAACGACCAGACGTGTTTACGATTATTTTAACTGCTATATACAAGCATCCTCAGCCGCGCTGTGACGGCGTCTACAAATGTTACTACAAAATGTTCGCGAGTCTGTTTTCAGACAAAAGAAACCGATCAGCTCCCCCTGTTTTCTGATGTTCTTTCGTGGAAACATTGGACATTGTAAACCAAACATGACTTTTCCTCCAAACGATTTCGGCTGGCAACTATTTCCACGTGTTGTAACGTTTCTGAAACAATCCCCTCGAGACCTGAAAGTCAGTCCTTTTAAACCACAACACCGCCTCAGGATCTAAGATTAACTGTCACCCTACATGGGCAACGGAGAGGATTCGGAAACCTATTTTGGTCATAATCGTCGTCCGCAAGGATCCGCCGGTCACCAGCTGGATTTATGTATGCTGCTGACAGATCTTCATTTTTTACAGCCGAAACGTTATACTAAAAATAAAAACCACCAAGCGCTCTGTCCAATTGTTTGCGAATTTGGTGATCGCCACGCTGGTCAGTACAATCTACAACTTACGCTTACATCACTCTCGTTTGCACAGTTCCCCCCCTGTCAGGTGCATGATTATTCTGGTGGGGCCATACCAAAGGTGCAATCGTTGGACCCGGATTTCGCTCTTATTAGAGATCATCAACAGTGCATGGCGCATCCAGAATTCAAAACGCGGCATTTTCAAAGATAAGTACCACTGATGATTTTAAATCATCGCGAGACTCCTTGGACTTCGTTGATTTGTTGCCTGGAGTGACATTGGACGGCTTAAACTCTGAACATTTGTCCTTCATGTGCCTTCGTATGATCAGGTGTGAAAATAAACCCATCACTACAGAGCTGGTACAGTTGCTTTTGTGTGTTTTCGATGTCCTCAGAAGACTTGCTAATTTCCCGACATTCTGACTTACCATCCAAGTGCTACGGCCCGGTCGAACAGTCTTTTTAGAATTCGTCACGAAAGAAAATGTTTTGGGCTTTAGCGAATTCGCCCAGGATATTTTGCTGGAATCTGCATAAATCCCTCCTGTCGCTCATCAGAACTCAAGTCCGTTTTGGGGTAGACAACTAGTTAGCACGCGTTATTTAGACAGAAAGCTTGTGAACGCATCTATTTAACCTTAAAGTCATCCCTTTTTCGAAAATCACACAGCGTCTATTGTGCTCACGATTTCCATTGAGAGGAAATCCCCGAACGTTTTCAATTTGAAACCATGACTTGTATGGCTAAAACGTTATAACCAATTCAATTATTCCTAGAAAGTGGTAGACTGCCATCCGCTTTTTCCTCGGTTTCTGACCCGTGCTGTCTAGACAGGACAGTTTGGGAGTATCATTTATTGGGGAACCGCCCGTTTTTTTATTTCATAAGCAAGTGTCCGAATAATCAAATTTTTCTCGATCAAAATAAGATTTTCGGTATAGTTATTGCACCTGTGTACTTCAACACTCACGCGCATCACTCATGACTTGGGTCACTTGAAAGAAAATGCATTTCAGGCTGATAAAAATCACATGGTACATGAAATGGAGACTAAGAGGTGAGTTTTGTCCTCAGTTACGTGCAAAGTCATACAATAAAGGTGAAAAACAAAACCAAACCACTGAGTGTTGCTTGTTTAATCTAGCTTTAATCGCATTAAGAAAACGAGTGTATTTCCATTGGTGATGGATAATTGCAGTTAATCGTACCGTACGTAATTATATAAAAGAAAAGATTTCCCGTAAGTTGACGAAGCTTGAAAGCAACCGCCTGAGTACAAACTTATCAAGTAAGCTTCTACAGATTGACGGGAGAATGGCGAAAATCTTAGTCTTGGTTGTTTTTGGTTTGATTGCCGTTTTGCTGTTCGAACTATTGAGTTTTACCTGGAAATAAGGTTTACGTGTTCTTTTGTTTTAATGAATTCGTATCCGTAGGATAAAAATTATACTTTACAAAACCTCGATACATAGGCGAGTCATGTGTAGGCTACAAATGGTTTTATTCTGCAACGTGGGCACATCATTTTGTGTTGTGTACTCATCCAAAACTCTTCCAGACAACTAGGTTATTTTGCAGGAATCCAAGATAAATCTAAGTTGAAGGATTTAATGCCCAAATCGCTTTCATGCGGCTTTTATCTGCGCATTTTCGGTGTAAAATAAATAATCTGCTTTTGTGTGGCAGACTGCACACAAAATATCAACGACTGATGACGAAAATCTATTGATTTGTAGTGCGGCCAACACAGTTGTAAGCTGACTGTTCCCACCGTAACGACAAGATGGAACTAACAAACACCAGGAAGTGTGAACAGTGGTTCTTCTCAACTAATCTTGATTGTGTTGAAACCTTCAGAACAATATATGGCATCCAATTTGCAACACGAAACGCTGAATTCGCTGCAAAATTAGTTTCCCTAGCGATTCACCCAAACCAGTACGCTTTTTCCAGCAAGTGTTTGCGGGTGTGATTCCTCATCAGACTCTGTCTTTTTTACTCATCAGGATCACCATGCACCTTTTCACTCTGTCACTTCTCTTGGTCTTTGGAGTTCTCCTGCAGACGTACACGGAAGCCGCGGAGACGGAGAAACCAAGCTCAACGAGTACGTACTGAAGATTGGTGATCATGTTTGTCCACTGTTGTTTTCGGCCTGATATTCCCATACACAACTGTCCAAATGTACTATCCCGCCGTGATTGAAGGATAAGTGGGACTCCGGCCTGTCTAAGTGAGGTCTAATCACACTGCTAGTCTGTCGACCTAGACCAAGTAATCAATCAATGGCCTAAAGGTTGCGAGTTCGAACGTCGGAGTTTTTTGGATCAGTATTGCTGAGTAGTCCGAATAAAAACGAAATGAGCAAACCGCTTTATGTGACCCTAAGATCTACTTCTGCATCATGCTACATAAAGTTTGTCACCTTGACTGAACAAGACAAATACACAATCGAGTTAACCAGCCCGGTAATCACTTAAATGCGACAAGATTTTAGACAGAAAAGGAATGAGTGAGATGGGAAAAAATTAAGCTAACGCAGAGAAATGTGTAGACTGGTAGATTCCATCTCAAGAAACGCTGAACACTGTCGATGTTCGAGTGAACAGCATTGCTAACGGCATAATCAGCTTTATCGTGAAGTAGCCCTTATCTGCGTTATCCTTTCAGACCTGAGACACTTGGATGCACACACATCTAGATCAACATGAAAAATTTATTGTCTATCGTAATGCCCGCGTTAGCTCAGTTGGCAACTTGTCAGTTAGTTTGTTGCGTATTATTCAGAGTGCTACCCTTCTCCCTACGGTCGGTGGATAAATGTTAGCTATAAACTCTTCGTTGCTTTTTAACCTGAATGTGCTTCCACTAAAAGCATTTATTGTTTTTTAGCCCCACACGCCAAGTTGCTGCATGGCTGGTACGGACGAGGCTACGGTAGAGGATTTGCAAGGGGATACGGACGAGGATACTGGCGAGGATATCGCCGCGGTTACCGTTGGTAAAAACGGCCTCGAAGCCGACAAAACTTGCGAATTACCCTATATTTGATAATGATTTGTACCACGTCACACTAAACAATGATTACTGCTAAATAAACCACGGTTGTGCATCTTCCAAAACTGGTTTGACTTTTTTATCTTGGCGGGAAATCAAGTTCACTTGTTCAACCGAGACTTTGGTAGCTTTGTCAACTAACCGTCAGTTGCCACCTGCAGCTTTCACGATTAAAGTGCGTGGACGATTCCAGTAATTTCAGTAATTTTTCGGACAGGAATAATGTTGGTAAACTAAGTCAACCTTTTGAAAGCAAGTTTTGCTCACTGCGGCTTCCAAAGTTGAAAACTTTGAGCTATATAATATCAGAGAATAAACCAAAGCGGTAAATGAGAATCAAACGCAACAAAGGTTTGTTCATTTCTTCACTTGCCCTGTCTGAGGGCAGGAATTTACATATCAAATGTGGACAAAAAAAGTCGAATTCATCTTAGCACCACCGAAGTTAACTCACATTAAGATCATGCCAAACAAATGGTATTCTGCAGCGACGGTTCCCTGATGAACAAGCTAAGAGATCCTGTTTGTTTAGGCGGTACATATATGCTCCCACTAAGGCAGGATAATAAATCTCGTGGATGATGACATGTGTGGTGAAGCAGGTCTGTAATATCGGGTATTGTGGATAAGTTGCAAAATAAACGCCTATATGCTTTGGGAAACAAGGAATATCATTTGATTTTATGCTACTCAGCGAACAAAAGCATTGTATTCGAGAAATACACTCATTTGCAAATCGATTGGGTTTTCACGAGAAACTCAACTGAATCTCTCGTTTATGCTGTTCTACAACTGAATGTACTGCACACAGGACACCCCATGTTTCAGTTGGTACGATATTCGAGATATCGCAGCATATTTTCATAAAGGAAACTACTCACAAGGTTGTTGAAAACTCTTATGAAAATATACTTCGTTATCTCGAATATCGTGCCAGCTGAATCATGGGGCGGCCTATGTGCAGTTGTAGAATATTATAAACGAGAGATTCAGTCGAGCCTCTTGTGAAAACCAAATCGAGTTGCAAATGAGTGTATTCTCTAAAACGGTCCAATTTGAGTTCAAGTAGAACATAAGGTTGACAGAAACCCGGGAACTGCGCCTACCAGATGAACCCCAACAAGGGCAAAGTTGGCCTCGGGCTGTCGAAGAGTTTTCAGCAACCTTGTGAGTAGTTTCCTATCTGAAAAGCATTGTACATTTGGAAACCGCTTCGGGCTAATACATTTTCATAATGAGGTTGGGCAAAACGATGATGGACAGGAAAATAATTGGGCGGTGACATTGAGACGACTAGAGATGAACTAATGAACCCCTAGAGTGAATAATGAGAATGGGGGTTCGCGAAATCTATCCACAGGTGCAAACAATTGTACGGCTGAGAAAAAAAGAAAACGGTTCTCCATTAAACTGAAACTCGTTTTGTATTCCGGTATTTAGGTAAATCAAGCGCTTGGTTTGTGTTTTTTTCTCAGATCTAACGCCTGAATTACACGGGAAACATACTGTGTTAACACATTCAGAAGATAGTTTGGGTGGCATTTGACCGCAGCGTTTTGTTGCTAAAGTACGCATCAAAGATGAATGATATTTGGGCAGAATGTGACAAGCAGTAGTCGAAAGGTTACAGGAATTTTAATTCAGCAGAGATAAAACAGTCGGTGTTTTAATTCGTGACAATAAATATGTCTAATTTTAGTTACCTAAACGCATAACTTTACACAGTAAAAAGGCGAGCCTGATGGATTTTGTGGTATGAATAATGTCATTTGATGGATCAGTTACGAGGGTTCCAGTTCATCTCATCCTGCAGGCTTATTTTTTAGCTAAGGCTTAGTTTGGGAAACATTGTCCACAATGTATTTTCTCCTGGCGTTAACATATCACACAACAAAATGTGAAACAAGTGTATGAAAAGTCAATGAACAGGACAAAAAAAGCTGGGAGGATCGAGGAAGAATGTCGATTTATATCCTATTTAGAGGCTACTGTATTCCAAAAATAACGTTTCTACTGTCTTTGTAGCACTCTACTAAATACTCGCGACATGCCGTCAGAATACTATGGAGGCAATCTTAATTCTGGTTTGTTTGAACATTTGCAGTGGACATCATTCGGCGCGCAAAAATCAAAAAACCTTACAAAATAGCTTGAGGACAAATTTTCACTATTCACGCCCCCTTGGTGAAACAGCTTCCAGGAAATACGACATCCCAGAGAAGGTCACAGAGGACTTCCTACCTTGTCCTGATCAGCTTTTGAACCGACCACTTTCTACGTTCCGCCTGAGTCTAAATCGCCCTCTAAAGAATAGGTCAGTGCTTATCGTGGTCTACGCAAACAGAAAGTGTAGAAATGCTTGTGTCAATATATACCGGTTAACTCGTGTTTTAGCCTGTTCAGCAACATGTATGCGGCGTCCTGTCATAAATCAACGTTCGTTTATCTCCCGTCCAATAAAGATGGACTCTGCATTTCTGTTTATCTATGCTAACCTTATTGTGAAAAGAGATGACTGCGTGGAACTTCATGGAAGTCTGCTCTTTTCGTCTTTATTTGAGCCCTGGATGATTTTCATGGTTACCTTACGAGCAGAATCGCGTTGTCCTTTAGGCAGTGAGTCACGGTCAAGAAAATCACCTTCGAGGTTCTTGTCGTTCCTAGTGTTTTCTCGCTGCGCAGCATCATTCCACAAACCCCTACTTCTCTACAAAACAACCTGACCCAACAGTTTCGTGGTTGTTTGGTTAGTCGTGAAGACAGCAAAAAACTACGAGCAGCCAAGACAACATTTTTGTAAGGCTGAAACGGCTGTTCTGTCTTCTCGGAATCACCAATTCGGATCTGAATATCTTCTCTGCAGTTGAAAACTAATCTGCGGTTTACGGTGAATGATCTGGTCTAGTGTCAGAAGAAAGGCCTCCAAAAATCACCTCTCCTGTAAGATACGTATGGCTTTTATCTAGTTCAGTGCAACAGTCGCCTTAGAAATATCTGAGCAAACAAAAGAGCCATAACATGGGCGTAATAGACTACCAGACACATATTTCAGTGACAGACCTCTGTCAAAACCTTAGACCAAATAGAATGAAAGTATGTAAATTCACTTGATATTCAAGGTTAACATGGACCACTTGTGACCCACAAGCTGAATCACACAGTTCAGTTGTGACCAAGATACCTGGTTCACGTACTATCTAGCTGGCAGTGATTCCACCTCTACTCTTGTCGTGGACATCTGATCACATTCGAACTAATCTGCGACCATGCACTTACGCGACCAGTGCTGTTTGTGACGAACAAACCGCAAATGATCACGTTCAAAAATTTCCATTCCGTAAGCAGGTTAATCTAACGTTGACCCATTTAAGTAATTTTAGTTTACCAACCTTCCTTCGAAGTCGTGACTTTCCATGGATTTCTGCAGTATATAGCGTCGATTATGCTAGAAGATTAGACTGTTAAAACTGTTTGTCAACCTTAGTATTTGAGTGGTAAGTTTGAATTTTCCAGAGGTGATACAGTCTAGGATTATCTCATTCGCCTTTAGAGATCCTGGAAAAAAGTACGCTAGCCTTAAGTGACCAGTGTAATGAGATTGTACACTGGCCTCTACACAGAGCAAGATTTCGCAGTATTCCAGGGTTTTGAAAGTATCTGAACAGCCCAGACGGGTTAGATGCACGTATGAGTCCGTCTCATCAAAGTACTGAGTAAAGCCAAGGAATTAACGAAGTCGTCTAGATAAAAAGCGGTTCTTTGAGGGTAAATTCCAAGAAGATGAGGGAAAGCTCTTCAAGCGTAGTATTTTTAGGAACCGTTATTATCTTCTACAAGCATTAACAAACGAACATTAAGAATGATATGTTACGAACAGAAACGGGTATATCTATGCGAACATTTTGACTTGACAACACATGACACTAGTGTTATTCTAGACTCTTCTACTTGCTTAAGGTGCTTCAGCTCACATCTCCACTCCCGTAGCACCAAGAAGTACAGTCAGCACTACACAGTTCATAATGCACGGTGAAGAGGTTGTCATCAGACTAATCAGTTGGCCATTATTCGGCTGACTTGATCAAATTTACCGGGTTCAGTTAGGGCTTGCACTTTATAAAGATAAACGTGTTTCACACAACAGACGTCCGACTAGTGTGGATATTGAAATGCATGTGTAGAATTGGGTTTTTCCGATCACCACGGAGGCGGAAATTCACCTTAAGTCGGAAAAAATTCATGAAACTTTGGTCGATATCCATGCTTCCGAAAACAGTTGGCAATTATTTTATTGTATTTTCACCCTGATAATATGATTATCTTCGATTGGAAGATAATATAGGTTTTTGCGAGATATTTCGCAATCGGCTACAGTTGTCCTGGTTTTCAGCTTATTGAGAGAAATTCCGCAAAAGTTTTATTGGTGTACACATCCAGTTGATCGCATCAAATGTGGGACTTGCATCACTGCTTTTGCAAAAGGTGAAATATTATTTGGAGATTATCAAACTCTTATTTGTTTGCTCCAAAGTGAAACTTACCACAGTCAGTTCCGTTGAACGGTTCTTTCACAATATTTGCAAAAACTGCGACTCAAGAGCGGGTCTTATGCACTTGACTCATGTAGTAACCGGCAGTCGGTTGTATGCACATTTAAAGCAGTCGATATGATACTTCAAAGTTATGTTACTTCCATACGAAGCCGCACAAGATTTACTTGAGTAGCTTGGATGTTTGAGCAGAATTTCGGGAGAAAACTCCATACGCGTTCTGGTTAAGATCGCGAGGAACGTATGTCATTTCTCGCAGGAACAGTGGCTTTTTCAGGATGTGCTACTTCCAAGCGGTTACGACACAAATGTTTTTTCCAGAAATGACTTCTTTCATACATATCATTGCTTGTTTTTCCAAACGTTGACAAGAATAACCATGCGGCTCGGGATCCTCGCACTTCTACTGGCAATCGCTCTGCTTCTGGTCCATTCCGTGGAGTCGCAAACAAGCGAACCACCAACCACAGAAAGTGAGTCTTTGTTATATTGTACACGAATGAATGCTGTCACCATACTCGTCAAGTCTAGCAGCAGTACGTATCTCCAAGACTGTAGCAGCGGAAAAGGGCTTGCACTTTATAAAGATAAACGTGTTTCACACAACAGACGTCCGACTAGTGTGGATATTGAAATGCATGTGTAGAATTGGGTTTTTCCGATCACCACGGAGGCGGAAATTCACCTTAAGTCGGAAAAAATTCATGAAACTTTGGTCGATATCCATGCTTCCGAAAACAGTTGGCAATTATTTTATTGTATTTTCACCCTGATAATATGATTATCTTCGATTGGAAGATAATATAGGTTTTTGCGAGATATTTCGCAATCGGCTACAGTTGTCCTGGTTTTCAGCTTATTGAGAGAAATTCCGCAAAAGTTTTATTGGTGTACACATCCAGTTGATCGCATCAAATGTGGGACTTGCATCACTGCTTTTGCAAAAGGTGAAATATTATTTGGAGATTATCAAACTCTTATTTGTTTGCTCCAAAGTGAAACTTACCACAGTCAGTTCCGTTGAACGGTTCTTTCACAATATTTGCAAAAACTGCGACTCAAGAGCGGGTCTTATGCACTTGACTCATGTAGTAACCGGCAGTCGGTTGTATGCACATTTAAAGCAGTCGATATGATACTTCAAAGTTATGTTACTTCCATACGAAGCCGCACAAGATTTACTTGAGTAGCTTGGATGTTTGAGCAGAATTTCGGGAGAAAACTCCATACGCGTTCTGGTTAAGATCGCGAGGAACGTATGTCATTTCTCGCAGGAACAGTGGCTTTTTCAGGATGTGCTACTTCCAAGCGGTTACGACACAAATGTTTTTTCCAGAAATGACTTCTTTCATACATATCATTGCTTGTTTTTCCAAACGTTGACAAGAATAACCATGCGGCTCGGGATCCTCGCACTTCTACTGGCAATCGCTCTGCTTCTGGTCCATTCCGTGGAGTCGCAAACAAGCGAACCACCAACCACAGAAAGTGAGTCTTTGTTATATTGTACACGAATGAATGCTGTCACCATACTCGTCAAGTCTAGCAGCAGTACGTATCTCCAAGACTGTAGCAGCGGAAATCGAGATATCTCAACGTTTTAGGCGCAAACAAATTGACTGGAAAGCCCGTGGTTCTGGACTGCTGCTTGGGCTGCCAGGCTTGGGCAACTAAGCATCATCTCGGCCATCGTGCTTCCTTCGAATGGTATGGCATCAAGTCAGTTGTGTTTACTACTCACTAGTGGCGCATCGAAAGCTCAAGAACAAAAGAGCCTTCCCAGGCTGGTGTCTTACATTATGCTGTACGACAAGTTACTGGACAAGTGAGATCAGGCGGGCCATCGATGACAGATAGTATAGAGGTCAAACTAGTGAACGGTGGTTACAATATTCAACTAGCTGCTCCATCTAAATTTTTCAAAAATAACTGTGCAACGTTCTCTTTTTCTTTAGGTATGGGTACAACGCGTCGGATGGGAAGAGTACCGATTCGCGACTGTATGCATAAATGGGCGAAATGGCGGCGAATGGATCCATGGGACGATGACAATGATGACAACGATGATGATGATGACGACCGAGATGATTAGTAGGTTTGGAGTTATAATTTTGTCGTAGCAGAAAAAAACAGATTGCGAATAAAATGAGGTTGTGATGACAAAACGTCAAATTATTTATGTATTGGGAAGCGATGGGACAAGAGAGGACGGAGACCGAAGGCCTTTCTCTCCTTAGCAAGTTAGCAAAGAAACGCGATGTTTGGTAAGGTTAAAAACATTCAGACGAGCAGGGAAATGCCGCCAAAGAGTCAAAGCGTTTCTTATAAAGAGTAAAAGAGTTACACAAAAGTAATTATATGTACCAAAAGACCTGAAGACTGCTTAGGGTAAAGGTTTAGCTTCGTTCAGGAATGCGCGAATGTACAGGAGCGTTTTGTGTTTTCAGAATTCTTCAGGAAAATTACCAAACACTTCGCATACTACTTGTCTAGTGTTCATGGTTAAGGATCCACCAACCTTCAAACCGAGTGTGGTGTTGCGTGCAAACGCCGGCGTAGAATAAAACCGTTGAACTAGGAAACTCATTAACCTGTCAGTCACAAGCGTTTTGTGTTGTCAGAATTCCTTAGGAAAATTACCAAACGCTTCACATGCTACTTGGCTACTGTTCATGGTTAAGGATCCACCAACTTGCAGCCCGAGTGTGGTGTTGCGTGCAAACTCCGGCGTAGAATAAAACCGTTGAACTAGGAAATTCATTAACCTGTCACAAAATGTTGATTATTTATCAAAATAACTGAAATTCCAAAAATGCGTCGTGTTTATCGCGTCTTCCAAAATGCTCGCCAGAAACGTTTACATCATGAAGGATGAATCCAAGAATGGCAACTAGCTTATGTGTCTTTAGCGTGTCTGACCAACCGACCATTTGCGACAGGTCAATCCGAAAGGCAGTTCTTTGTTGATAAGCTGTCCACTCGAGTTCTCCGGGGACACACCTACTCAATAATGAAAATATTACCGTATTTTGAAGAAAACTTATTTTCTCAACGTCAAAGAACTTAGGTGAAGAGTTTCAGAGGATTCGATTAACACTGAACACCAAGCAAATGTGTTGTGCAGGTCGTATCCAAACCGGGAAGAATTTCACTGACTACTAATGCACGCATTACCAAATTGCCAAAACCGCCATGCACGCCAAACTGTTATATCTCCCATCTGTGTTTTTGCTTAACATATCGATTCAGTCATGTAAACTGATGTAACACCTCAACAAACTTCGAGAAATCCTGCGTAGCTGTTTGATTCCATAAATACAGCCTGAAAGAAATACAGCCGATCAGCCACCCATCATTGGGTACACTGAGGCCATGTCAAATTGCGCAAACAGTTTGTGTCGAGTCAGCTATTTAAAGGTAGGATAATCTTCAAATGTATTCACGGTATGAATGACAAACTTCAAAACGTAGTGAGAAACCATACTCTGTCGACGCATTTGGCATCTTCAGACACAAGTTCTACCACCGTTGCGTGAATACACTGAATGACGCACATCCCAAAAGGTTTTGTTTGAATTTATTGGGGAGTTTGAAATTTTTCAACTTCTTCAAATTTAGTTAAAATTGTGGCAATTTTCCGGAAATCTATTTCAAGCGATAACCTTCTGGATAGACGGTCATTAGTTTTGTGCGATTCTATCGAAACAACTTCTCCACCAACCGGATTTTTTTGCTAATATCCCAGCTTTCAGGTGAACTTTCTTGTTCAACCACATGATGTCCCACTCAAGTCCTCAGCTGACTACCAAAAATTGTGTATACATCTCGATGACAAACTTCTGCTCCGATCGAATGGTGTACGCCTTCGTTATAAAAGAATACACAGGCTGTGAATCAGGTGCGATCATTGAATCACTCAGGAAGTTTCCTTCCAGGCAGCTGTTTGCCGGCTCTCTACATGTCCTCTGCAGTGTTCCTGGCAGATCTGTAGCCTCATTTTGTCAATTTCATTTGACCAAGTATCATTATGGTACCATTTGAAACCCTACTAAAGTAAACGGTCACACTAAACCATTTGAGCCCTCGGATTTGAAATAACAACGAGGTTCCTTGCGTCTTTTGCGGTGGTTTGCTTTAGGCGTTGTTTGTTTGTTTCTAATCGGACGACTAACAAAACAGTGAGAAGTGCATTCCTGTTGTGCCATGATCCTGTCCACCAAGTTGCCTTGTGTAACGAGAAGTTTGGAACTGTCAGAGGATGCATCACGCAACTTCCGTTACATAGTTGTTGTGAATTTAGCCGTTTGTCTAGAATTCATGTTCGAAATGCCTAATCCTCCTACAAGAAACATTATCAACGATGAACGCGGATGCATGCTATTTGCATGGGATTCTAAAGAATAGGCTCTGTTGGCCGATTATGGTGAAATTTCTATCATCGTTAAGATTGGTCGTCAAATATCTACAGATTCCAAGCAGTTCGTTCGAAGTTTCCACGATGGAAGACACTACAAATTTCAGTACGTGATAAAAAGGCTTCCTGTAAGAGTGTTAGCTGAGCACCAAAGTCCACTTAGCAGATAATGAATGTCGACCGCCTCTCAATACAACACACCATCACAGTTCGTTCACTCAAACCAGACATCATAACTGTACGCTGTTGGATGGCGAAACCAACAGAATAAACGTCGAAAGGAAGTACGGTTCTTTCGGTTTATTCTTGTGAGCATAGGTGACAAACGAAAATGGTTGTTTTGTCTCATGTTTTCAGCGTTTACACCAGTATCTTGCTTCTACCCACTTTGATTCTTGTCCATTAAGCTAGATCGGTGAAGCCAGGTCTATAAGTGAGCGAAAAGAACCCTGAAATGTCTGACCCTCATCCCACAATAAACATTTTCGTTTTCTGAGCACTACTGTCGTATTCAGTATTGCGTTTTCGGTCAGATTTGACTTATCAGGAAATGGCAAGACTATAATGGTTTCGACGTTCCACTTGAGAGTCGAACTTGATCACTTACGAACTGCGTGATTTGCGAACAACACATTTTCTGTATAAAAGAACGATACCCAAAATGTCGCAATCGCAAAGTGGTTGCACAGAAAAAAACGTAGGCTATACTGCGATTTAAACTTCAGAATGATGGGACGTCATTTCGAACACCAGCGCCGCACTCTTTTTCTGCACAGCGGCGAAGCATCGGTGTTGAAAGCTGATGTCATGCTGTTGATGATGATGATGATGATGATGATGATGACGATAATGATGGTTCTTTTTCTGTAGAACTGAAGGCAGAGGACGTCGAAAATTATTCCATAATTCGATGTGAATTTGTTACGGTTTTTAGCAACCGATAAACCACACTGGTTGAAGTTAAACCTTTGTTCTCAACAATGCAGTACTCTGCGTATGTTTGTTTTGAAACTGTTAAAAACTAACCCACATACAAGAACTAATGAACAAAGGTAGAAGCTACTAGTACCCGGATGACGATCGAGGCCAGCCATAAACGGAACACTGGGGATTTTGTGCACTCTGATTTATACGCAGAATGATTTGCTGTCGTAGCAACGCCGGGCCGTCGCTTCGAAGAAATCTCCTATAATTTCAACCACTACTCGTGTGGGAGGGTAGGGAATCCAATTCCTAGAAACTAGACTCGCAACCGAGTCAAATCCATTGTAACAAGAAAACGTTTACCTTTCGACGTTTCATGAAAAGTCTCAGAAGGAAATGACATCTTAGGAAAAGCTAGTCTTTTGATCCGAGACATTTTTGGTTCAAAAGTTTCGAAGAAATGGTTTTCCGGTATTCCTGAACTGATTTTTTAAGCCTTCGATTTTAATTATTATTTTATTATGACTGCGCGATTAATAACGTATGTGTTTCAAGCAATTTAGTACCAAAAAAGTGCACTTCCATCGTACTAGATTGACATAAAATGGTAAAAAAGTTGTGCCTTATAAGCCCTCACCACTTCATCAAACCGAACTCAAGTGTGATCCAAAACAAAGATTTTTATTCAAAGCTGTTAGCAGAATAATATCGCTGTCATCCTCGAAAGTCATTTCAGTGGATAACCTACAGAGAAGCAACGAAACCCAAAGACATTTTTTGTTTCTGTTTGTCTCTGTTCAGAGGCAGTGCACACAAAAATTCAGATTCGACCGTCATTACCCCGGAGGGATACATCTACTGAAAAGGCACTTTCTGCTTGCCAGATGATCTCTTAGAATGGAGAACCGCGATGAGTGTCTTGGCGTGAGGCTGCCTGTTATCTTTCGCGTGCTTAACTTAAATCAGTTACGGCATTTGTGAAGGCTTACACGTGGGCTGTCCTAAGTGGATCGAGGATAAGTTGCCACGTGAGCTAAGTCATGAAACTAGCCAATATGATCAAAGTTTAATGTACCAGTGGTGTAGAAATCACCGATTGTTCAAAGTGGGCGTCAACCTGGCATGATTAGCCGGTGAACTGGTAGTCATTAAGCTCCAATCGGAACCTTATGTTGGTGGCGTAATCCAGATGGCACCATCGACATTCTCCTATATTACTTTGCATCAACATGTAACTGTGTGATGGCTTGTGTTGCATAGCTTATTTGCTCATTATTCATTGCTTGAAGAGTTAATATTTTGACAGAAGCTCCTACATTGCATTTGGAAAAATAATCGGTGGCCAGTGACAACTAACCTTTCAGAAGAACTAGTATTTTCACGTCAGCACGACATATATAACATAGATATATGTTACAGGTAGAATTCTGAATAAAAGACATCGGATATTATCTTGGTAGACCTAAATTCCAGTTGAAAAAGCGATGATTCTCATTATCCACTCCTTTGCATGAAATCTTGATCAAAGTCAGGAATGGAATTTAGGTGTCCTGCGCATTTTGTAAAAGACTATTCTGCACTTTCTGACACCCGACGGGATGATCAAGATAAACCAGGAGGAACTCAGCCTGGCCACAATATTTTCTTGAAGGGACCAAAACAATAGAGCCAACGCGAAAAAATTATGCGCATCTGCGGTTGCAAAGCACAGGGTGAGTTAAATTAAATTGACAGCATGCTGTCCTTGGATATCGGGGGTAGGACTTGGCAAGCCTACAAGAATGTATGCCGAAACGATGCTAATTCAGAATCAGAAAAG